ATTATTTTTTTTTTTAAATAAAATGCATTTTCTTTCCCAATGGTGCTGAACCGTGAATTTTTGTACATTTATAATTATTAAAGAAAATTATTATTAATCATATTTTTTATAGTTCGAGTAGTAGATATGAACGATGGTCGTGGTTTAGATGTTTTACTGTAACATGTTTTTCTATAACCTATAAATACTGTGTTTTAAATATGTACTTCATTGTTTCAGGTGTTTCGACTTGAATAGAAATGCCATAGGTAACAATTAACTCAAAACTTTCTAAATCTGATTCTATTAAAAATATGTTATTTTTTATTTGTAAAAGACATTATTTAACACCTCTAAACTGAATACATTCAATATCTTCTATATACATAAAAATGAATTGTTGTTCGTTAGTCTCAGACAGTCAACTCGAGAAAGGCTAGTCCGATTTGAGCCGAGTCAGCTAGTTATAAAATATTTTTGAGATTTGAAAGCGTGAAAAGCCTGTGTCATTAACACAACTAAAACAACACCATCGTGCTATAATCGATCAAGCAAAGACATAATATCACAATCGATAACCATACGCTTCTGTGGCACTTGGATAAAAACGATGCAAAAAAAAATTACGAGATATACTGACATTTTGCTGTGGATTTTAACTTTATTTTTTATAAAAATAACATAAGTTACAGCGTCGCTTCAAGGAAACAAGATGCGCAATTACTTTATTAATTTATTTGTTTCTTTCTTTGCAGATTGTCAAGTCGCATTTGCACTGGTGCGGAAGGTGACCTAAACTTTTTGTAAGTATCTAGAGAGTGTCTAGTGACAATAACCACTCATTGCACTCATGCTCATCCACAGTCTGTTAACGGCATTACGAGCAATAATAAAAAAGCGTGTAATGTAAGGAATGCCAGACACGCCCTCGATATCCGTCCGGTTTGAGCTCGTCCTGTGTTTTGTGTGTGACCGACGCTAAAGCATTGCAATTTGCGTACAATAATGAGTATATCTATCAGTAAATATTTTTGAAGGCGTTATGTTTTTTAATTCTTAATTGAGGAACAGTTCGAGCAACTAAAATGTAATGATGCATCTTATGTAAGTATAAGGACAGAGCATTTCTTTATCTACTGTTGTAGTTTATTCTTCTAACGATAACCTTTTTCGTCGGCTTTTCTCCTCTGATGTCGTGAAGACATTGTGTAAAACGTTATCTTTCGACGATGTGATAGAGTTCTGGTTTGATGACCACAGCTAAATAGCGTTATACATCAGGCAATGAGGATTTTCTTTGCATATTAGTATGTTAAAATATGGGGCCGGATTTGAACCGAAATCTCCTGATATGGTGCTGTCTAGTTTGATCGTCCGATACATTTAGATGGTTTGAGTTTGCGTGTACATTATAAAAATAATTTAAATTTGAAAAAATAAGCCGTCTGATAAAATAGGAATTTCTATGAATGTACGTGCGGACTTTTTAGATTGTGGCTATGACTTGTTAGGCTGGATTTCATTTATTACATCAATATTGTTAAGTAAAACTTGGTATAAAAATCGTTGAGGTTCCGGCGTACTTATCTTGTTTTAACTATTAGTAACTGTAAGTATTAAGGATTCATCATTATTGAGTTTGCTGTTAAGGTACAGGAGTTCGTGATAAAAAAAATTAGAGGGTTAGTCTGCTAACCGTTTATAAATCGATAACACAAGTGTATCCTAGTCTGAATACCTCCGTACTTATTAATTATTTCAGCGCGCACTACACCGCGATATGCGAACGACACGAGGTAGAATCTTGTAGGTATTACATTAAAGAAAAAACAAAAGTACGAGCAAAAAAGAAACATTAATTTCATCCGATTCCATCACGTTTTTAGAAACCGCTCGTAAAAGTGCTTTATTTTGAAAACGATACCGAATGCAACGGAGGTAGACGTTGCGCAATCTGGGGTCGATGACTGTACTGACTCTCAGCGCAAACGATTCGCTAAAATTTCATGTTTTTTATACAATTTGGTAACCTTGTATTATAAAAAGCCGTATTGCATATTTCATTTCGAGTTTAATGGGCTTACGTATATATATTATACTAGTGGACCTGTACACACGACTTAAATTTGACAACTTAAAAATAAAATTAAAAAAAAATGTAGAGGACCTGATTATAAATCTAAACCATTCTTGAATCGACTTGAAGACACAAAAAATTTCATTAAAATCGGTCCAGTCATTTAGGAGTTCAATGACATACACACGTACAGTAAAATTATTAATACAGATTGACATTACAACGTGGTGAAAAACCTTTGTTCCCTATTAATTTTTAAATAAATTGAAACTGGCTTTTGTTTTTTTAATGATAAAAACATAGTCTGTTGCTTAAATAGCGCTTAGAGGAGAGATTTACGAGAGATCACTTTTAATAAAACAAAAGTACCGGTTGAATTTCTAACACTAATATTAGAACATTATCAAATCAATTAATTATCTTCAGAAGTTAAAAACTCTTTAAATTCGTGTCTCATTACAACAGCTGTCTGCTCAGCGATATGTTTGCCAGACATTTGCGTAGGGGAACGAATTGCTAAGCATTTGAAAAATTTCTTCCATGCCCATTAGAATTTACAATGGAGTTATGCAAAAGTATGCGCAGTTATAAAGACAACGTATACATATTCTCGCTCTATTTGCCGCAAAGCGCAATACCGAAAGGTGCAGCCGTTTGCCAACACGCCACGCGGACTGTTCGCGTCTCGCAAGGCCCGTGGAATGGGAAACCTAAAAAGCTATCCACTCAACGATTCTGAGCGGTGAATTTGCGAGTCGGACTCGCGCACGAAGGGTTCCGTACCATCATCACTACATAGTATAAAATAAAATCGTCCCGCTGTCTGTCTGTCCCTATGTATGCTTACACCTTTAAAACTACGCCACGGATCTTGATGCGGTTTTTTTACTTGATGGAGTGATTCATTTAATGTTTATATGTATAAAACATTGCAACTGTGTGAAGCCGGGGCGGGTCGCTAGTTATCTATAAAAACGGTAAAAAAATCATGTCTGTTGTATGGGAGCCGCATGCTGTGAGTAGAGAAAATCGACTATTGCAACCGCTCAGCCGGTGATGATAGCGTTCGTTGTACCTTAATTCTACAAATCAAATATTTCTTACTAGCTGATACCCGCAGCTTCGTCTGCGTTGCTTGTTTATTGACAATGTATTTTATGTGCATAGGAAAGAATATCAAAAAGATCAGAACTCTTTCCCACTTTCTACGACAAGAAAACACATACCACTGAACACATCGTCATTGTTTCTTAAAACTTTAATAACGTTACATTAAATAAAGATATAACAATATTTATATCGATCTACCGACCTATCTCAAAATTTATTTCGGTACTCTTAAATTTGAAGTGGAAAAAAGAAACGTTGCAATTTATCAAGGGTCTAGAAACGAACAAAAATATTTATGACTCTGAAGAGCCACTTCGACTGAAATGTTCCTAAATCAGTTCTAAAAAGTGTTATTTAAAAAAAAAAAACTAATGTGACAGTTAATCATTCCACAGTAATTCGTCTCATCGTCATTGGTTTGCGGTAGTTAAACTGAAGTTTTAAAGATCGGATCAAAACACGAGCTTTAATTTTTTCTTTTAGCAATACTCGCATCGCAGTAAAACTAGCGCGAATCAAATCACTTGACATATAGATAACATATAGTTTCTCATAACGATTTCATTTTTTTCATATCCGTTTCTAACGCCTGCAACTGTTATTTGTGATAACTTATTCTTACGTTCATCGTTATTACCGTAATATTAATGAGGTTTGCGTAACAATTCCACCGGTGGAGCAGGGAGGGCTGCCAGTCGAAGCCGGCGGACGGGCCACGCCGGTATTGGCTCACGATTGGGGGGAAACCTCGTCTAGCTTAGGCAACGTTGTGAGGGAAAACTATCTTGTTAAATATTTTCCCGTTTCGCTAAAGCATTGAACGCGTTTTGAGTTCTTAGTGTGTGTATAAACATGTTAGACAGATTTAATGTGAGGATTGACGCAGTAAGAGCGAAAGACTTGTAAACCATAAACGTGAAATACCCACGAAGTGCAGGACGGATGGATGCAAAAGAAAGTTTTTCTATTTTCTAAGAAGTCGTGCCAAGAATTACAACGTGGAACAACATTCCGGTATAAAGAACCCGTCTGGAATCCTGTTCACCGCAAACGAAAAATTTCACTCACTGTGAACCTCGTATCTGTCAGTTGCTATGTTATATGTGCGTAACGCATTTTGTATGCCCACATATTTATAGATTATTATCATTAACTTTCGCGTATTTCATACACATAAGTGCAGCTGGGACCTTCAGTTTTACGTAAAACGGACGCAAGGAAACGCACGTCGGCATTTTTACTGGTATTTGTACAACATGCTCGTGCTAATAGCAGTTTTGTAATGCTCCACTTCGAGTAACAGTAAGGTCACTTAAACTCACGCTAAGATGTAAGAACTAACGAACTTCTTAGATGCAACATTTCTATTGTTAAACAGCGAACAACGCTTACAATGAAGACAGATCGTATCGCATGAAACTATCAAACGTTTAAGCCGACAAAAGACATTGCTGTGAAGAGAGCGTAGATACGCACAGATAGTACGACTTGCCTGCAAATTGTTATTATTTTGTCCGAGAGCATATAATTATGATCGGTTCAGACGATGGGTATTATCGCGCGTGCTAAATGCCCCAAGTGTGTTCGCGGCAGACTTTGGGTGGTTACTATACGGCTTCCGACGACAGCAGTTGTTGGGCGCGGACGAGCGTTAATCGACGGACACCAAGCGATAAACGGATTTGACTCGAATCGATTCCAAGTCGTCGCCACTGACAGCGAAGTGACGCAGAACTCCGCCACATTCGAAGCTTGAACTACCCGGCTTATTGAGTTTCATTGCTAACCTCGCATAAAGAAAATAAGTGGATGGCCGATTGTGATACTAGACCAAATGACCTCACTGTTGACGTCGATGTCCGAAGTGGTGGTCATACTCAGGAGTGACGTGCTGGACATAGCGCGCGTGTTGGAGTCCTGGTGGCGGGGCTTGGTGCTGCTTGCACGTTTGCTGATCTACTTTTGTTGCTTAATCCACCAGGCTTTGTTTGGTAGGCATATTTCTTTACATTTCACCCAATACTAATGCAGAATCCTTAGCTTAGCGGTGATCCCGCAAAACGATTGTTTTCTAGGAATGACATACTTATATCCTTGATTTATTATTGCGGCTGGTAACAAGAGTGCCGATTCTTTAAACGTAAAGTTAAACCATAGCAATTCAGCGAGAAAAACAGCTAATATTTTATTAGATATTTAACGAATATTTAAAACTATCGCAAATAATTTTTGTTATACGGAAAGTGTCGTGTTTGTATTTTTCAAGTTACGTATTTTGAAACCGATTTTAACGGTCTTTAAGCATTACAGTCCCGCAGTTATCCAATTCCACTGTTAAATAGAACGTATTCGTGACGAATACACTGTGGTACAGTTTTGTCATCTAATTTTTACATTGTTTCTAAAAGGAGTCACAGCAACGACATCTTTAAAATGTAACAACAATTCAGTCACTTTGTAATAGTTTGATTTCGTTGCAATCAATTGTAGCAACATGATAATGCTGAAGATAAGCTATCGACTAATAGATTTGCACAGAAGCACATCGTAATTGATTTACCAACATTTTTATGATATTGTCAAGTTCGTACTTTTTACGCTTGAATAAATTTATGACAATGTAACGTGATCATTGTAATTTGTTTTTATAAATTAGTGGTACAGGGTAAAATAGGTTTGAAAAAAATTAAATTTTTATATAACATTTTTATAAAATTGACATAGATGTAGTAAACAAAACTATTTTGTGATTGTGGAGTAGGGTTACGACGTCACGTTAGGGTTCCCATAACAGCTACTATAGCTCGACTGAGGAGTTGATGTGGTCTCACACGGCTTGAAGTTGAAGTATTTTGATATTTTGGTGACAGACAGACCGACAGAAAGACAGACAGACAGACCGACAGACAGCGAAGTCTTAGTAATAATAGTAGGGTACAACGGGACCCCCGTTTTACCCTTTAGGTACGGATCCCTAAAAACTAATGAAGAGAATACTTGATGCGTAGCATACATTATCATTTATAAACGTTAATCCATAAATCATAACAAGTGTCGCTTCATAACACATGTTTTTTTTACGTGAGAAACGTAGTGAGTGGCAAGCGAGCTGGTGGTTCACCTGATAGTAAGTGATAACCGCCGCCCATGGACATTTGCAACACCCGTAGGGTTCCAGATTCGTTGACACCTTTTAATGAAGTGGGCCCCGGCTACTTCACTCATCCGAAGAAACGCAAGAAGTGTACTTCTAGTTTACGCCGTTCTTCTGTGAGGTCGTGGTACTTCCCCGGACAGACCTGCCCATTTGTGCTACAGCGTAGACTGTTGCGTGGAGACAGTTAACCGCTAAAAGTTAAAGAATTTTTCTGTCACAACCGAATCGCCACGAAAATATGGCAACGATTAACAACTTCTTGACAATAACCTATAATTCCAAGTTTTTTTATTAAACCGTTATCGATTGCGTTCAAAGTCTTTTCCACAAACAGAGTACTGGCACAGGGGATAAATTTTTAGTAAAAACTAAAAATGGACGAAAACTTTTAAGACGCTGCGGCAATCGAACGCACCTCTTCCGCATTCGCGCCCAGACGCTTTAACCACTAAGCTACTACTAAACGGCCACCTATAGTATTTACAGTGTTTTATAATTCACTATAATACACACGAAAATCTCAACGTATATAAATAAATCGAACAAAAGATGTTGCCATTGCTATTTGAAATTAAATTTTTTATAGTGCTTAAGATGAAGCATTAAAATTTGTACAAAAGAACTGTGTTTCATTTCATAAGTTCAATTTTCTATTTTATGGCATAAGTTTGTTTTTTTATATCACGACAAAAACCATATTTACTTCATTAATTATATTATAATCGATATTTGGAAATGAAAATCAATTCGACGAAGAACACCTAGTTTCATTTCGATGGCTAAGATTGGTGTTTATTCTATAACGCACAAAACGTACTGACGGCATTCGCTTCAAGTACAATCATTTAATTGCATCCGAAACGTGCCACTTTACCATGCTGGAATCTAGACAAATACCCAATCAAAACCTTACTTCTGAACAATACATTTCTTAAGGAGAGATATAAAAGTGTAAATAAGAATGTAAACTAGGCAGTTATGGATTCAGTCCTATCTGCAATAGTAACATTGGAAGTACGCAACTCACCAGAAGACGTTGTACCCAAAGTAAGTCATTCGTATTCTTGTCAGCTGAATAGTCGCTTTGAATGTCCAACAAACATATATGTACATATAGTAATAATACATTTATATGTAGCCTTGCGTCAGATCAAGGAATGCAAAGAAAAGTTCTTTTGTCAATATGTTAATGCCTTCGACGCTTGTAAAATAATTTTCTAGTAATGTTGACATTTGTCTTCAACGACATTATAAAGGGGCATATTTAAGTGGCAGATTATCTTTCTTCGTATTTATTTTGAAACCTTCGTGAAAGAACAAAAATGAAATGACTTAAAACATATTTTCCTTATTAAATGCTTCCATATTAATTCCATCTTTAATCGTGATTTCTAACTTATGATTTATCATGAATCATAACGAAAACTGGCTTGAACACATCTTGTAACTTTGTTGTTAATATAAACACGAATATTAACTAATCGTGTTTATTTTCTTTTCAGAGTTAAAGGCACCTGTGGCGGTCATGATGGCACCCAGCGTGTTCCAGAGAACCAAGTCTCCGCGCTCCTCGCCTGGCAACCAGCCTAGAAAATTACTGGTAATATATTTTAACTTCACACTATTTCATAGTGAAATGAAAAATTGAAAAAAAAACTAAAGCAATATAATTGCTTTTTGGAACGAATTTCCTTATCGCACGGTTCGGATTTGGCGGACCGCATCATCACAAAAATACTATATGGCAACCAATGATGTTTAATAAATATAGATGACGCATGTCCATACTGCGCGACGCTTAATAATTGTTCTTTTTTATATTATATGTCATATATATGTGAATGTGAACGATGTTATTAAACGTATGATACGGAAGGAGATAGCAGACTAATCAATTACACCAATTGGTGTAATTTAAGTGCCTTAGGGGGCACGTTTCAGGGCGTTAGTGTCATATCTACCTCGTATTTGTATATAATATCATTGATGGCAACGAATAACGCCTTTTTGACAATTCCAAGTTATAACCGTTGCTGTCTTTTTCACGAAGAAAGAGTACTGGCACAGGCGACGACCATTTTTATTTATTCAAATTAACATACCTTTATCAATAATAGTATACTACGAAAGGATCTTCGTTCCAACTGAATGTTCCACGACACACACATTTCTTTTTTATTTTAATTGTATTTTTCCAGAGATGATATAGACAATATAGATTACTGTTAATAAGCGTAAAAGAATGCCTGCCTCGGACCCATTGTTTCAAACTGACAATCGTGTAAAAATTCCATATCTCACCACTTTCTCCCTTCGATCAACGAAACACGAAGTCATGTCCGTCACGTTAGATCTAATAAGTGTGCGGTACGTGTAAATTTGGTTTAAAATAGAATGTGAGCGCAGCATCGTCGTTGTGACTTTTGGGGAATTGCGATTTAATAGAAGTATATCTAAAAGGTTCCTAGACGCTAATAACAATCTTTCATTAGCTCTAAACCTTAACGATGTAAGTGTATGTATTATGCAACGGAATCTTTCAGTTCAATTTTGGCTCATTTACATGACTTCAGTCGTGATAGCTCAGTGTCCGGGCGCTCGCGTATAATTCAATATACACGAGCAACCCGAGTTCAAGTCCCAGGGCACAAATGGAATTCTTAATTACAATTTAAATGTTTTGTTATGACTAAACACGTCCTCAGCGGTGAAGGAAAACATTGTGAGGAAACCGGCATATTTTCGACATAAATAAAAAAAATATTTCGAAACTGTATGAAATATGAATATGCAGTGGGGTCGCGTGCGCCCTTTGTACCTTTGCCGAGCGGTAGAATATATAGACCGTTAGTTTACTTTTACTTTACACATAATTTGGAATTTTCAATCCATTGGCAACTGTTACTTTCGTGTTTCCAGAACGGCGCAGAATCCGCCAGCCAGTCAGAGCAAGCCGCCGACTCCAGCCCGGGAAACTCCATATCCGACGCCGAGAACTTCGAGTGCTATGGCGAAGCGGACGCTGACGCACCAGCCAATACGTAAGTTGCCCACCTTGCTTATATCACGCCATACCATATATGTTTAAAGACCAGCTGGTGCTTTTGGATCATTCTACCAATACATGAGCTTTGCCCGTCTATTACAGCACATAACTCGAAAATCACCGGTGTATCGATAGACTTTCATTGTTTCTTAACCAATAAGTATTGTATCAGTGTTTATCGTCTGACGAGTTAACATTAAAGCAATAGATTATCTGTGGTTAAATAAAAAATAAGACCTTTTTAGTGTCAAAACATTTAGTTTAATACCCATTATCACTAGTTTTGAATTGATCTATTCAGAATCGTATTGTACGCAGTAAAACACAGGACATTAAGAGTAACAGTAAATTGTAAACATATCGCTATCGAGAGACCGTCATTTTTAGTGCATACCGACTACCTGTTTGTGATAGGCTAAAAGGATATCGACAAATCGTTTTATGAATTATTATAATATTTTGCGTCAATTATGTATAAAGCGTGATAGCTCAGTTTCTGCGCTCAGAAACTGAGCATAAAGTATATATATATATATACTCTAGCGACATGATTTCTAATCTCGGTGCTAGCACCAATGGAATTAATTGTTAATTTTAAGTGCTGAATATCACATGATCAGCAGTGACGGAAAACACTATGAGGAAACTTGCTTCTATCGAAATAATAACAAAAATAAATATTTCGAAAATATGTGGAGTCTGCCACTTTGTAAAGGTCGCGTCGTGAAGTATGTCCTAATACCCTCTGTACAGAGGTCTTTGCCCATCAGTAGAACTTGTATTAACGTTTACTTTTTCATCGATTATAAAATAAATCCATTCCTTTCTGTTACCTGGTACAAAGTCATCAACGAAGCAAGCTAACGGTCAACAATCTCTAACTTCCGTGTTTACGTGATAATGTTTTATGGGCGACAACGTATCTGATTCACCGAGGTAATACATATGGCCTCGTTCATGGTATAACCGTAATTACCTATCCGTTTGTTTATCCTTTCCCCCATTTTTATGTTCGTTCTGTTACTATTAGTAACTTGAACAGATCACCCTGCTATAATGGCTGTGGTGCGACACGTACCATATTCCCAACAATTGGCAATTATATTTACATTATCGTAGGTAATGCATATGGCCTCGTTCATGGTATACATGATCACCATCGATCCCTAATTTTAAGGGAGCACCCAAAAAAACTTAGTGTTAAGCCGAACATTTAGCTTATTTTTAAGGTACCTCTTAAGACTTTAAGTGACACACAAGCGGTGGTGAAAACGAAATTAACACTTATTTTTTTTAGGTGATCCTTTTAAAGGTAGGGATCGATGGTGAAAACGGTCAAAAGTTACAATACAAAACATCTACATACCACATAATTAAGATTAGAAGGGTCGACTAGTCTTTTGCACCTAGTCATATCAGTGTCTTTTCATTCGTCCCATTGTGTTGTGAAGTAACACAATTTCGTATTTATATAGATAGACAATAGGATAATCGTCATTTGTCATTTTCCGATCAAAATCGATTTTGGTTGTAACGAGGTCACACGGTTTTTTGTCGCCAACAAGTAGATATATATATATATAGCTAATACGCTATACACGCTTCATCGTATTTACTCTGTCCGAAACGTGGCAAATCGATTAGTGCACTTGACAAACCTTTTCCACTGTCAAGACTCACGTGAAAAAGTAATAAAAAACTTGTTTGCTCATTTCTTAAGCTATTAAACTAAATATTAACTTACAAAATAAAATGTAGTAATGGTTCAATATATATCTTATATATAAAATTCTCGTGTCACAATGTTAGTTACCTTACTCCTCCGAAACGGCTTTACTGATATTTACCAAACTCTATATGCATATTCAGTAGGTCTGAGAATCGGCTACTATCTATTTTTCATACCCCTAAGTGATAAGGGTTGTTCACCCTTAACATTTATTTTTTACCCATTATCACTAGTTTTGAATTGATCTATTCAGAATCGTATTGTACGCAGTAAAACACAGGACATTAAGAGTAACAGTAAATTGTAAACATATCGCTATCGAGAGACCGTCATTTTTAGTGCATACCGACTACCTGTTTGTGATAGGCTAAAAGGATATCGACAAATCGTTTTATGAATTATTATAATATTTTGCGTCAATTATGTATAAAGCGTGATAGCTCAGTTTCTGCGCTCAGAAACTGAGCATAAAGTATATATATATATATACTCTAGCGACATGATTTCTAATCTCGGTGCTAGCACCAATGGAATTAATTGTTAATTTTAAGTGCTGAATATCACATGATCAGCAGTGACGGAAAACACTATGAGGAAACTTGCTTCTATCGAAATAATAACAAAAATAAATATTTCGAAAATATGTGGAGTCTGCCACTTTGTAAAGGTCGCGTCGTGAAGTATGTCCTAATACCCTCTGTACAGAGGTCTTTGCCCATCAGTAGAACTTGTATTAACGTTTACTTTTTCATCGATTATAAAATAAATCCATTCCTTTCTGTTACCTGGTACAAAGTCATCAACGAAGCAAGCTAACGGTCAACAATCTCTAACTTCCGTGTTTACGTGATAATGTTTTATGGGCGACAACGTATCTGATTCACCGAGGTAATACATATGGCCTCGTTCATGGTATAACCGTAATTACCTATCCGTTTGTTTATCCTTTCCCCCATTTTTATGTTCGTTCTGTTACTATTAGTAACTTGAACAGATCACCCTGCTATAATGGCTGTGGTGCGACACGTACCATATTCCCAACAATTGGCAATTATATTTACATTATCGTAGGTAATGCATATGGCCTCGTTCATGGTATACATGATCACCATCGATCCCTAATTTTAAGGGAGCACCCAAAAAAACTTAGTGTTAAGCCGAACATTTAGCTTATTTTTAAGGTACCTCTTAAGACTTTAAGTGACACACAAGCGGTGGTGAAAACGAAATTAACACTTATTTTTTTTAGGTGATCCTTTTAAAGGTAGGGATCGATGGTGAAAACGGTCAAAAGTTACAATACAAAAAATCATCTACATACCACATAATTAAGATTAGAAGGGTCGACTAGTCTTTTGCACCTAGTCATATCAGTGTCTTTTCATTCGTCCCATTGTGTTGTGAAGTAACACAATTTCGTATTTATATAGATAGACAATAGGATAATCGTCATTTGTCATTTTCCGATCAAAATCGATTTTGGTTGTAACGAGGTCACACGGTTTTTTGTCGCCAACAAGTAGATATATATATATATAGCTAATACGCTATACACGCTTCATCGTATTTACTCTGTCCGAAACGTGGCAAATCGATTAGTGCACTTGACAAACCTTTTCCACTGTCAAGACTCACGTGAAAAAGTAATAAAAAACTTGTTTGCTCATTTCTTAAGCTATTAAACTAAATATTAACTTACAAAATAAAATGTAGTAATGGTTCAATATATATCTTATATATAAAATTCTCGTGTCACAATGTTAGTTACCTTACTCCTCCGAAACGGCTTTACTGATTTTTACCAAACTCTATATGCATATTCAGTAGGTCTGAGAATCGGCTACTATCTATTTTTCATACCCCTAAGTGATAAGGGTTGTTCACCCTTAACATTTATTTTTTAATTTTTGGACAAAATGTTTTGTTTTTATTTTTTTATGATACAGCATACAAAAATACATACAAGCCTAAATTTTTACCCCTCTACGCAGACGTAGTCGTGGGCAGCAGCTAGTAATCAATATATAATCCACCTATTTCTGTTATATGTTTCATTGTAATACTTTTATTTTTAGATGTTGTGTCACATAGTTTATGAAGTTGTAACTTTGGCTTTTTTACGTTATAAACACATAACATTGTATAACTTTTATAATTATTATTACAACTAGCTGGTACCCATTCATCTGCGTTTCGTATTATATTAGCAACGTATTTAATCTGACATGGCAAGAAAAGACACATCCATATACATACATACACACATATACACGTAAATCATTTGTAATACGTAGGCAAATTTCTGGATATTCTGAAAATTTTATCATCCGTCCCTTTATGTAATTCACAAAAGTTGCTTAGAGTTACTAAAGACTAGTAATTTTATTAAACGAATAGTAATATGCTAGCGACGGATTAACTGACGTTGATCCAAATTGGCGGAGGTGAAAAATGGTATCTGCTTTAATTGCCTTAACGTCTGACCTCGTTTATAAATACGTCACGACCAAACTTAACTATTTCTACTTGGTCCTTTTTAATGTATCTTCGCAGAATTTTAGCTAAAATATGTCTTTATGTTAACTTCCGATATACGCCGCGGTATTTTAAGCAAAACTATCAATCATCATCATCAGACTGTTTGTCCACTCCTGCACGTAGGCTTCTCTTTTGAATCGTCTCAATTCTCTATTAATCTCGATTGATCAAGTCGTGACGCACCAACGATTATACATACAGACAGAGTTCCTATTTTACCCTACACGCTGCACGGAAAGCTGAACGGTTAAGGCTGCCCACTAACTTACAGCGCGCCGCGGTGTAGGTTCAAATCCCACTAAAGGCAAAAATGTTAAGTTTCCACAAACGACACTCGATGTATATATCTGATTTTCGTGTTTCTTAAACCTCCCGTGGCAAAGGAACTATTTCGTAGTGCTAAAGTATTCTAGTAACCTAGCGTTCATGATGTTGATCATCATCATCATTTCAGCCTGATTCTGTCAAATACTGGACTAGGCCTCACCCGCAGACTGCCACGAAGCACGATCCTAAAACTGATTTTGATGATCGTCACTCCATCTAGTGGGCCACTCAACGTTATTACATAAAAGATACAATCTTAACCGTTTGAAATTGGCAGATTATACAAATCGCTACAAGTCGAATGTCTGATTGAGAAGTTGATGAATTTGGTTCTCGATGAAGCATTATTTTTAACACAAACGTTTGTTGCAGGTTAGAAAACGGGTCCAGAAGTCCGGCGAATCCATTAAACCGTCACTCATGGACTAGGACGAGCCTCAGGAGGACTCCGCCCAGGTGATTTACCGACCCTACTTGTCTTTGAAATGGCGCTAAAATATATCATCATAAAGATGTAGATTAGAAATACTTTTACAATCAGACAGCTATACCGTAATCATAGCATCACTGAAATAGTAAAGCATTAGAACATAAGTCTTAAGTTTTTGCTAAATAATAATCCTTTTACTAAGCTTTACTTTTTTTGTTCATCCTATTGAGATATATGATTATCATATAACACAATAAGATAAACTGCTGATGGCTTGCTTATTTTTTTCTTAGGCTGATTTTTGATGTTTTTTTGGGTTTTTGTTTGTCTTTTTTTTGTTTTGTGCACTTTTACTCGCTTCTCACTGTTGTGTTGTCTTCCTTAGCCATCAAGAGAACTTGCCGCATCGGAGATGGGGCTCGATGAGACAGTAAGATTCCTTTTACTTTTTTCATCTATTAAGATCCATCTGACAAAACACAAACCGTAAATATTTATGATAGCGTATTGAAAAAATAAACTTATGAGAAAATAAGTTTAGTCCAAAATTCACTTTTTACGTAATCAAACAAGTTGCCATGTAGTATTCCTAATGTTAAGTGATTATGTTAAAAGTGTGGGACCCAACTACCTCAGTCACCAGATAAATCGCAAATATATAATACTTCCACTTCACGCCGTTATTCTGTGGGGCAGAAATACTTCTCCAGACGAGCCAACAAAAGCTATTGTGCTTATATAATTATTTCATATTGAAAGTTCCACCTGCTTATCTATGGTATCTGTTATTTTATCGCTCCGCAATAGTTGTAAAATATGGATGGCATGTTAATATCTCCACCAATATGGCTAAGCCGAGCTTATGTCTTACAGTAACCGTGTTTTATTGAACAATATATTAAAGACCAATGTGACCACAGTGACATTTTTTAATCTAAAATCGTACTTAAACGTCCATATATTTATTGGTATAAAAAAGGACTGTAGTCAAACAAGACAGTTTCATATCTGTTGCTCTGGACTGGATTAACGAAAGAGAAAAAAAAAAGAGAAAAAAAGCGGTAAAGGTTAATTGGCGTACCTACCGTCTGAGCGCGTTATCCGTAGACGCAGGTTCGAAACTCAGAGAGTTTATGTCCATTGATCTACAAAAATTCACATGGTGAGGGGACTGGTCTTAAGAAGGGTAGCTGAAGGTAGATTTGCTACGGTCGTAAATCTTTTTGGATATTAATAAAAGGGAAAACTTTGTGTATGCACTTACAAACAAATCTAAATTAAAAAAAATACCTTTGCCTTAGACTTTAAACACATCATCCGAATAAAGGAGCTTGTTGAAATTTAACCTATGTCGATTATATTACAAAAGTACAATAATAACAATCATGATAATCGCTTTAATCTTTTGCTAAATCGCCTTAGGTTACATAATATATATGTACATTGTACCTTGTACATGGTCCAACGTCTAGTCGATGTTGGACCAGTAAACATGGATAAAAAAATCGAACAAAAACTACATTTTTATTAAAAAACACCCTACGTTTTTGCACAAGCAGCTTTTTTATCTTCAGCCAGAATATATAAAAAGGTTGTTTTCTTTAATTGTTTTTTTTTATTTTTATACCACTAATCTGGCACGAAAGGCATCAGATTTTGTCAATTCACCCTGGAAGTACTTACAAATAGTTCGAGTTCAAATTATTTTTGCTCAAACGCATATCGATCATACCTTGCCACTGCCAGGTACACAATCACTTCAATCTATAATAACGTAACATAAAATAAATGGAAGATTTTCATTGAAATTTGAACCGTGCTATTTATTACACATTACGTGTTCTTTTGCAAATATCACAAAGTAAAACGTTCAACTTCATAGTTCTATTGTGACCGCAAACAATAGTATTTAACGTTGTCAATGAGTCATCGCATCCACTTTTGAAAGCCGAAGGCTACATTTATTTGTACCCACTAGCTTTTCTCGCGACATTGTCTGCGTGAAACGGATGCGGACGAAGTTGAAGAACAACCGTGTGACGTTGTAATGGTTACAGCCAATCAACCGTAACCTCGTCTATGCCGCCTACTGAAAAAAACTAGCTGTTTGACCAAGTTCACTTTCCATAGGCTTTCGATTTTTTGTCTAAACTGAATTAACGGACGCTCATAAACACCAATAAACTATAGACACATATAAAAAGACAAATGAAAAGATGGTCATGCCTTCAAGAACTACTGTACCTGATGATAGGCTTGTTATCTATCTTTCCCCATTAATTGTCCATGTCATATTTTATTATCGTCCTGCCCTTATCCCACCTAAGTGATCTTAGGTGTCTTACAAAAAATCTTGTCACGTGCGGGAATCGAACCCACGATCTCCGACGCCCACGCCAATAGCTTTGCAACGACGCCTCCGACTCACCGAATCAAGTGTATCACTAGTGTGATGGGAGCTGTTCTGATCTGAATGCAAACATCCTCAGTTTTCATCATCTAGTTAAAAACTGTATTCGATTCATTTTCAATCTTCGAGAGTATGAGCACGTATGCTTATACCGCTGTTATCTAAATAAGCTATCCATTGATCAGCGCCGTAGTTTGAGAGCACAGTTTATCATCATTCCATCCAGGTGTCTACCAATCCTCCTACCCTCTTTACTCCCCACTTACAATCCCTGTGTTCAAACAATTTTTTTTATGCGAAAAGTTGCCAAACGAGCGGACGGTTCACCTGATGTTAAGTGAATACCGCCGCCCATGGACATCTGCTACACCCGAGGGTTGCAGATGCGTTGACAACCTTTTGAAAATTGGGCTCAGGCCACCTCACTCACCAGACGAAACGCGAAAGCATTATACTTCCACTTTACGCCGGTCTTCTGTGAGGTCGTGGTACTTACCCGGACAAGCCTGCCCATTCCTGCAACAGCCGAGGCTGCTGCGTGGCCCACCACGGCCAAAAAACATTGATCGTACTACCACCAAATAGTTGATCTATGTTTGTAAAACATTAAACGTACATCGCAAAACATAAATGCATATTGAATTTAATCCAAAAACTTGCTTCTTTCTCTGTTGATCAAGATGACAATCCTTGTTTCACTTTTCGGAATGTTGCTGACCTTACTATAGTGAATAACATAAATTATAAAATGTCGTGAATGGTAATGTCTTTAAATATACCAAACGATAGTATCAAGGCTCAACGCCGAGCGATTTCCGTTATAGTTCTTTTAATTGGTTTTTATTTGCGTCGTAACAAAAAAAAATTAACACGAGGTAAAATAAGTTATCGCTACGTTTACTTATACAACAGCATCGTTCTTATTTTTCTTATTTTTTTTTATGAGAATATTTATCAAGATAGCACCAGATGTTAAGTAAATACCGCTGTTCATGGACAATCTACAACACCCGAAGGCTTGAGCATGCGTTGACAACCTTAAAAAAAGTTATCTCATTCAACAGACGAAACGCGAAAGTATAATACTTACGATATAATACTTATAATACATATAATACAATATACGGTCTTTGTGATGCCGTGGTACGTCCCCGGACGCGCCTGCCCATTCGTGCAACATCAGAAGATGCACAAACAAAATTTTGATTTTAAGCTTACCAATATAGCAAGTTAACCTACACCATATTTTTAGAAATAGTAAATAGTATATTAATACTGTTAACAACCTTTTACAAATGGTCAACAAATTGTATTATGCAAATATTATCACAATATTACGGTTACGATATACTTCTATTATTATATGTATAAGTATAATTCTATTCAATCATAGAAACATAAAAACATTCCTCAACCCTCACGATTCTAGGCCATAGAGGGATAGGCTCTTAGTAGTAACGAATTTCTATTACATCCGAAATAATGTACAAATAACCGAAATAACTACTTAAAGAATGTGCAGGTGTATAAAATACAAAATAATACTATAGGAATTCTAGAATACATTTCACACATTATAGTATATAATGTAATTTAATAGTACGAAGAGGAGTAAGGAATAAATGTTAACGTACATTGTGTCAATGTGTGCTAAGTAAAATTCTAGTACCTGTACCCAAGAGTTTGTGGGAAAATGCCGGTAAGCGCTAACCGGTGAAGTGGTTCAAACGCATTGTTAGGCGTCAAACGGAACGGATTCCCCTCAAGAAAGTGAACCGTCTTGTTGTTCCACCTGACTGCTCCCGACTCCACGCTTGCTAGACGGACGGTGCGTAAGTCACGAACGGACGCGATCGTGACGAGCGGACGCGGAAAGGAGCGAGTATGCGCTACTTTTATCTGAAAATTAGTACACCACAGTTGTCCAAATACACTTTACTGATACGCTACATTTGATGTGACGAAGCATCAAAGTTTCTCAGCTAGTAAACTGCAAGACCCACGCATGTCACCGGCATATTTAATGATACCGATGGGAATGCGTTATGCAATCGTGGTGCTATTTTTTTTTTCGTTTGTTCAAAATTATTACAATTAACTCCTTTAACTACAGATTTTATCCCAAGAAGTACGTAATCTTTACGCTTAATTCTATCCCATCCACCGACGCCCTTATTTCTCTCTGACACCGGAAGAAAGATCTTTACCGAAGTCATATATTCGTTGGGAAAGTGCGAAGTGCCAGTTGTATAATAATTCATGCTCATCTATTCATTCATTATATAACAACCTATTGTTCTTATTATAATAAATCATGTAATATGGCATCAGAGAGCGGATGATTTACAGTATGTTTACTTCATATGTAATATACGTGCAGAATGTTAGCAACATTGAACATTTAATGATGTTCATTAGGAAAAGTTAGCAAGTAGACATTTTATTTTGGTATAAGATACAACAGATCTGGACCTCGCCCCAGAAAGTGCCACACACAAGCATCAATATGCAATGGGAGTTGCATTTTTTCATTTAAACTGGCGGTGAGGTAACCAATCTTTAATGGTACGGCAAGGCATTTGCAACCCTACGAATGTTGTGGATGTCCGTAGGTTGCGGCTGCCTGCCATTTATTCAGATAAAAAAATCAAATAAAATCTTGAAAATCAATAGTGGCATACTCTCTTATTGTTCAATATCTACACGACCAAGAGTGACATGTGCATCGACCGTGAGTACTGAATAAGTTTTACTGTTTTCTTTGCCTTTATTTAATAACAGTGTACACGAAACTGTAATAGGGATCACGAATTTCTTCAAGTAAATTGCCAACCTTTCACTTAATCGTTTATAAAACGTTACGCAACGGGTCATTAAACACACGATATTATATGGAATACTTACATTGTTGCATGTTTAGAAAATCGCGTAAGATCTCCTGAATATACTTCAATAACCAGAAGTCACGGGTTGAAGTGTTTCTCAGTACCTCAGTGTCCCCATTAAAATCTTCCGTCGTA